TCATTACTCACCTGGCATTCGCTCGTTCAATGTCTTCATTACAATACCAGTGATATGTTTTCCCTTTTTGGTTAAGCTTTGCTTTGCTCGTTGGGTGGAAAAAGTGTACAGGATTGGATTTATGGAGGAGTTGATAGGAAGAACAAACACTGCAATCCACACGTAGGCGATTTTGTTTGGATCCTCAAAATTCCCAGTTAGCGATAAAACACTGATTGTTATGATGGGCATCCAGCAGCAGAAGTCTGTCATCACGATGAAGGCAAGCCTCTTAGCCATCTCGGATTCCTTTTTGAAATTCGTCGATCGCGCTGCACGTGCAGCACGCTTCACCGTCCAAAATATTGAGATATACGCCACGAGGATAAAGGTGAAAGAAATGAAGTTCAAGCCCACAAAGAATGAGAAGGAGTATTCCCAGCCAGCCGGTGTGCCCTCTGAAAGCTGAAGCGGAAGGCAGACGGCAGAGCGACTATAGAAACCGAAATCCCCGCTTTCATCGTAAAAGTAGTTTACTCCGGTGATAGGAATCACAGATATGACTATGCCAAACATCCATACACCCATGCAGGAAAGGACGGCCGCTTTGTAAGTAAGGCGCTTGAACTTGAATGGGAAGACGATACAGATAAGTCGGTCGATGGTGATAATGGTGAGAATCAGGACAGAAACTTCACTGGAGAGCATCGAAAGAGCTCCAATGATTTGACAGCCGATGCTAGATCTCCATTTAATGTCATGCTTAAAGTATTCCCCTCGCCATCTTGAGTCCATGATGGCGATCGTTAATAGATACACGCCCATAAACAGATCAGCTACGGCCAGATTGGTCAGCAGACAGGACTGAACCCTGCTTTCTTCTTTATCAGCGGCACGCCATATTATGACGAGGACGTTGCCAAGGAGCGCAAGTATTCCCAGAATCCAGATACAGACCTGAACAGCTTCGTTTTTCATGAGGTCGTCACAGCTCGAAAACTCGTTGATTGGAGAATCGCAGTCAACTCCTTCGATTGACTTTATGGCGTAGCAGCAGAAAATAAATCGGTCGAGTTTCCTGTGTAAAAAAATATCTCATGATAGGCACGATTGACAATTTTACCTCACTCCTCCCTAGGGGAAGTTTTTATTCAAATGTCGAAAGTAGTAAGGGAATGCACTTGTTTTGCTATTCGTTGCTTATTGATTGGTTCAGATTAATCCGTACACCCTCTCAACCAATGAAATGCACGATAATTTTCCGTACTTGATGCCGGTTGACGTGTGTTCGTAAAGTTTTGTATGGGCGTGAAAAAAAAAGTAAGGAGCAATATCACTCATGTTTTTAAGAGTGATGATAATTTTTAACGTTACGACGAAACATGCGATTACTTGTTTATATTATTTAGGGAAAAATTTTATTTCATTAGGAAGGTCAAAAACCAGCTAATATGGTACTTAAAATAATAAATAAATAAATAAATACGTAAATTGAAGCTCCGCTTTAGGGGCTTGCCAGCCACAATGTCAACTAACTAAGTGGTTAAAAATCCCCAATGAAAGGAGGCAGACCAGTGGGCTATTTAAAGAGCGCAGCCGAGGAGTTGAACTAGGAGCAACCGAGAACAAATCCAGTGAGTGGCAGAGTGGAGGATTTGAGCCTGGGACACCAGATTACAAGTCCAGCACCCTAACCGCTCGGCCACGCCGCCTTCCCGTACTTCTAAATCTGATTGGGCGAAATTGGAAAGCGCTTTGTGAAATAGAACAAGTTCGAAGGCCAACAAGAGTAGAATGTTCATTGATAGATACTCACAAATACTTCAAGTTTTCTAGTTCACTAAATGCATCGGAAGGTACATCAGATAGCTTGTTATTGTTTAGATACCTGTAGCAATGGATAAAAAATATTTTACGTATTGACAAACTGTTATTTTTCAAATCTAAGATTTGATTTAAGGCAGCTGTCAAGCTAACCATCTAGGAATTTTTTTAACTTAAGTTTTTGTCATCGACATATAGCGATCAACAAACACTCTACTCACAAATATTCCAGTGATTTGAGTCCTTTGAAAGTTCCCTTCGTCACCACTGTTAGTTCGTTCCCACTCAAATCTCTGAGGAAAAAAGCGAAGTTACTTCTGTCATAAGATTGATAATTCAAAGGTTTTCTGGAGGATCTAAATGGACCTCACTTGAATTTTCTATCTTAATGGGCCATTTCGAGAAACGAAGTACACTCTACACAACAGAAATGTGTAGAGCTTCCAGGTATTCAAGGTGACTAAGACCACAAAATTAATCGGCTAGCTATGTTATTTCCAATGATACCTTATCATTCAAACAGTGACAAAAATTATTATGCTGGTTTTATCATCGTGTGACCATTTATATCCTAACATCAGCATGCATATATTCTATACTCTTCTCTATACTTTTCCTCTGTGATTGACAACAAGAATTTGTCTAACAATCAAGAGCTTCCTTGGTTTGTGCTAATTTTCCTTTGTTCTCAGGACCTTAATGTGTGATTCAGGGGTGATATCAAGATTGTGAGAAGAAAGCAGATGCTTGTCACCCTCAAGTCAAATGGTTACACCACCTAACGTTTTACTTCCTGATGTGACTTATGTAAATTTCTCTGTCAATATTCATGTAAAATCAAGTACGCAGGAGAAAAGATTTAGATAACATCCAGCTGAAGGATGTTAGTTTGATGCAAACCAAAACTCTTTTCAACTACCATACGTGGAAATATAGGAAGAACCAGTGACTTTATGGGCTTAGAGCCCTATTGTATACCATGAATCAAGGTAACAGTAGTGTAGATGTTAGATGAAAAGACAATCAATTCTATTTCTTTTTTTGATTATTTCACTGTTTGAATTTCAACACTTATGATATCACCGTGTTGACCGTAAACACAGCGAAAAAACTTTTCGAGAGCAGTAAGTACATGGACTTTCGAGAAACGGGCCCCAGTAGGCAACCAATTATTCTTAGTTTTTACTTTAAGTTTGTTTCTTTCTCTAATGATGACCAATTTTTGGATTGCCATACTTACAACACTTTCAGCTTTGAAAGATCTTCAAACAGGCCTTCTGGTAATGTTTTGAGTTTGTTATCCTGAAGATACCTAATTGCACATGGCCAATCAAAAAAGTAATGATACAAAACCATAATACATAACCTAATCGAAAAATGAGGAAAAGAAAACCCACGAAAATTTCTAATTTCCAATCTTGATCTAAAAAGAATTCCACGAAAATTTCTAATTTCCAATCTTGTTCTAAAAACAATTCCATTTCAGAAGTCTTCATGGGGTCTTCAGAGTGTCACAACGGAGAAAAACTAAACCCCAATATAACCTGTACACGGACCCCTAAAATTGATTAATAAGGACTTCGACACATCACAAACAGTCTATAATTATTTCAAATTAAGTCACGGGAAACATTACCTGAAATATATGAAGGATAACAATACTTACAGATGGGTCATGGTGCTTTTGTTTTCAAAAACACCATATTCCACTCTCTCAATCTGGTTTGAACGCAAGCCTCTGAGAGCAAATATGAAATTTTAGTTTAGGCCATCTCCACTTAAGGTTGTTGAAGACATTTTGAAAGCTTCACACGAGAAATAGAGTATTGCAAATTTAATTGGGTCACTTGTAGTTTAGAAGTTAATACTTACAAAACCTCTATACTAAAAAGTCCATCCAACATTCCTTTTACTACTTTGCGAAGACGGTTTTTCCCTAAATCTCTGAAGCAAATCAATCAATTTCATTAAGTTTAAATTGTGTAAAATGAAGTGGAATGAAGTCTAATGACCCAATCAAGGACACTCAGTTTTAAGTCGTGTTGAAAGGAATGCGAGTTGTCGATGTATAAACTCTGTGATTGCTCGGGTAAATTTGCGCCGCCATTTTAGAGAGTAGGATGCGTAATAAGAACAAGTATGCAAGCGTCAGTCGTTTGCACTACATCGAGCTCAATGGAAAATCGTTCAACTGCACCCACTATGACTTCCCGCCTTTGATTAAAATCGATCCATAGTGACAAACCTGCGATGAGGGTCGGCCTTGTAAGGTACACAAATACTTACAGAACGCGTAAATTAGGAAGTTCAAGAAAGACTCCGTCGGGAAGAGATTGTAAGAAGTTGAAGTTCAGTCGCCTGGAACAAAAAGTGCAGCGTTAAATTCAATGAACATATAACTGATAGCAGCCTTAAAGCGACTTTCTTCTGAAAGCTAAGTAGATATACACGACCGTAGAGGGTTTCGCTTTTTGTCACCATTGGGCAAGCAAATCTGCCCAGATGTTACCATTTGGATCTGAAATGGGGTAGCAGTTTTTAAAACCCTCTCAGATCACAGCATCTCCACCTTATTTTCTTCTTGGTTTATGCTAGTGTAAAGACAAAAAAGACCGTATTATGCGGTTTTCCAAATCGAGGACTGCATTATTTTAAATGAAGAAACAACTCACTCGGCAACAAAAGTTACCCTTAAAATGTCGTGATGCATACTAACATAGTTTCGACGGATGGGACATTTTGAAAGCAGTTTTCTCTGAGGCGAAGCAGAATATTGAAGCTCATGTCTCTAGAAAAAAGTAATCAGTTCGTTAAGTTCCCCAGCCAGTTCACCTAACTCTATAGCAGAAATCTTGATGCAGATTTTTTATTCTTTTAATCAACAAATATAAAGTTTACTCACATATATTCTAGCTTGTCGAGATTTGCAAAGGCCTTTTCTTGTAACTGAGGTATCCGATTTTTCTGGAAAAACCTTGAAAGAAATATTAAACTTGCAGTAAACAAGAATAGAAATTCTAATCATCACAAACCAACAGAGCAGCTAACAAAGAAAAGGAAAACAATGTGGATATGTCAATCATGAAGTTGAAAAACAACAAAACTATCAAGCTTTTCATGGCTTACACAGCTCGAGTATTAGGGGGGAGATTAGATGGAACACTGAGCAGGTCTACTCCAGTTACAATAGTCCCGTTGTCTTTGCCTTCACCGAAATCTTCACATTTGCAGCTCGATGGGCAACCTAAGAACAAGAGAAAACAATACTATCATTCAGTCTACAGCTGACAACTAACGTCCAAATCTGGGACGATAGGAAAACGCGCAAACAGTAAATTAGAAGCATAACATTAGAGCGCGAGACCCAAAGATTGTTTACTTTGCCGACGTGAACAGGATGGTTCGTCATTGTCCTTGGCTGGAAAAAGAAAAGAAGAGTTTTTAAATACCCGTATAGGAGAGTACTGGAAGGAAATAAAAGGGCTCAAAGACGTTAGTCAAGAATACTGCGAATAGATTACTACTGGTAAACTTAATCAGAAATTTAACGCATAATAAAAAACTCGTCTCTTTTAAATGCACTCAGGACAGAATATACTTATATTCAAAATCCTGAATTGGTTTCCTTTGGTATTTCGCAATTTTTTTCAACCAAAGAAAGGTATACCATGGATGGTATTCATTAGATTTGGGAAAATTTTCTAAATACAAAATAATGAATCGTATTTGACACCTTAGTGGATTTCTTAATAGCCTTCTTCCACACATAAATGAGCCCTATCTCCAGCATGGAGACCACACTTTGAATACTGAACAAGGAAGCAGAATGAAAAAAGGAATCATTACAAAAACGCAATAAACTTTGTGATTTTCATTTACCTGAAACAGAATGATACAAGGCCTTTAATCTGGCCACAGGTAAATTTCCGTGACAGCTCAGAAAAACTGTTAAATGATTCGAGGAAGATAAGAAATCTGGAGGAAACAGATAGCCGCAGAATTTGCCCAACGAGGGTCCAGTTTTTTCGCTACCATCAAAAACTTCCACAAAACATTTATCGCATGTGGGGTGTTCTCTGAGTCTGAATTCTTGGAACTTCAAGTGGATTATATGACGTTGTGGGACGGTTATGAGCCATCTGCAAAGAATGTCATCAAGAGAATGTCCCGGATATAAAGGAGAGAAGAAATATCCCGACTTGTTAGTCAATGTTTCGTTACAGGCTGAAACAGGA